TATTTTTGTTAGTGTGCACGTATACTGCTATTTACTGCCACCTATTGGCGTCTGTATGCTACTTACTCAAGGGGTGGTGCATAGTGTCATTAAAGTGTGAGGATTACATGTCTCACTGCTCAGTAGGATTTAGCCATCATGTAATCAGTTTTATAGGTTATGTAGTAGTAACTAATAACCAAGTAGTGTACCTCTTCTCCAAGAGTTTTTGGCTAGAGACTTTGTTAAACTTGTGTAGTGAATAAGCCTTGGATGCCACATATATGAGAATAAGTGATTTTTTCTATGTTTTGCATGAAACTTGTATTTTATGTAGTTTTTATTTTTCTTAATAAATACCAGACATGTTGTATACTTTCTGGCTGGATTTCTTTGGAGAACAAGATAAGGACATTGTATCCTTTAAATCTCTCTAATGCTGGTGTATATTTTTGGCATGAACTGTGATTATAGCTGCACTCTGCATAACATGTGTATCTGTGTGTGTTTGTGTGTGTGTGTATGTATCCATCCCTACAGTTGTTATTGTTTATGCTTTACCATGGACACTTGTTTACTGTTACACTATTGAACGTTTTATATGTTACTATGTAATCCACCATGAGTGTCCAACTCAGCACAGAAATTTAAGTAAATAAATTTTATAAGTTATATGTGAATTTATTTAACACTGACAATTACCAGATTCTCACAGCAGTTTACAGTAAAAACAAAACCAGGCTTAGCCAGAAATATTCAAAACAATTAAAAGGCTTTTCAGAAAGATGTGTTTTTACAACTTGTTTTAAAGAGTACAAGCTTCCCAATTTAACAGGAAGACCATCCCAGTAAACAGAGACAACTAGAGGAAATTCTTGAACCCAAGATGAGCCCATGGGATCTGTAAATAAACTTGCCCAAATGATGTTAAGGGGGGGGGCAGAATTACAGAAAAGAAAGCATTTTCTCACATAAACCTAATACAAGCTGGGTAGAGCTTTAAAGGAAATAACCAGCTTTTTATTTCACCAGGATATAAACTGCTAACCACATTGCAGGACACACTGCAATAGAGTTGGTCTGGTGGTTGCCAATGCATGCACCCCTCTTTGCACTGTTTGCAGGTAATTTTCTTCCAAGAAAAGGCTCAGCTAGCGTATCAGCCAATGCAAATAAAACATACTCCCGGGCAAAGAGAAGTTTGCACAGCACCTATACACCTAAGCAGGAATACCTGTCCTTAAGCGGCATCACCTGGAAACTACCTGAGACATGCAACCGCTGCAAAGCGGAGCTTCTTATTCCCAGATCTCTCTGGTGATGGTTGACGGCGCTGAAAGCCACGGAGAGGCAAAGAAGAACCAACGTTCCCTCATTTGATAAGCCAATCTCAGCTCTGTGGCCAGTTTGAGATGGGTCAAAATAACAGGTCTAAAAAAGAAAAAAACCCTACTGCCCCCCAAGACGGAACCCCGAAGCAGCGCCCCTGGCCCTGCCCCTCGGCCCCCCAAAGGCTGGGTAGGCTCCCGTGGCCCCCCATGCCTGCCCAGGAGAAGACTCACCGGCCCCTTTGGCGGCAACCAGCCCGCTCAGCCGGTCTTCGGGGCAGCTCCGCACGAGGGTCGCGTCCCGTTTTCCAAGCTCTAGGATAACTTCGTACAGGAAAAGCTCCCGGGTCTTGGAGACGGCGAGC